AGCCGAAGGCAGATGCTTAACCAACTGAGCCACACAGGTGCCCTAAAGACACCCTATTTAATATATATATATAATTAATTCATTTACATTGAACTCACAACAAACAGTCCTATAATTTATGCTTGAACGAATATATATAACATGTATTTTCTCCAGAAGGCACATCACAGCCTTCTTGCACTTAGAAATACTGGATAGCACTTTAGCTCTATACTTGGGGGTCATTTTAAACAGTGAAATCACCAACCAAGAGTACAAAAATACGAAAAATGTGACACCATGCCACAAAAAGGAACCTTTTTATAGTATGAAAGCTAAAACAAGAAGGCCAAGCATTGCCTAGTTTGACCTTAGTTGGGAATGTGCATGTCAGGCAACTCAAAATTTTTACCATTCTGTACATTCACATGTCCATGATTGACCAAAGAAATGCTGCAAATACTGATTTTTTGAGTTACAAATATATTTTGATCAGTAGGCAAATTTTCACATATGGAATCCATGAATAATGAGCATTGACCGTGTGTGTGTGTGTGTGTGTGTGTGTGTGTATGTATACACAGTGGCTTTTGTTTTCCATTTTGTTTAATTTTGTAAGAATGAAATAATTTTGAAAGTACTGTTATAATTTACTCCTTTCACCTAACATCCTAATCATTCATTCATCAAGTATTTATGTCTTGCCCACTGTGTATAGACTCTGGAGATTCTATAGCAAACGAAATTGACCAAGTGTCTGCCTTAGGGAGCTTACATTCTAATAGAGAAGGTAGATAGTAATATCTGGTACTGTTAAGTACAACAACAACAAAATAAAGCAAGGTAAGGAGATAGGGTGGCAGGTGGTCATTTTACTTTTAAAAAAATTATTTTTTCATTGAAGTATAGTTGAAACAGGCGGTAATTTTAGATGAAGGGAAGTCCCTTTGAGGAGGGTAACATTTAATAGAGACCTGAATGAAATGAAGGTTCAGACTATACACATAGCTAGGGAATAGACATTCAGTGGAGAGAGATTAGCAAGTGAAGAAGACTTGAGATGGGAAGTTGCTTGGAATCTTTGAAAAATGAAGGGCAAAGAGCAGTAAAGATGAAATTATTAAGAGAAGTAGAAGCTGGATCATAAGGTAAGGAATCTAGATTTTATTCAGAATGTATTGGGAATACATTGGAGTGTTTTATATGCATAATAACATGAGTTTATTAGAAGATCACCAACAATAATCTTATTAAAGATTATTCTGGTTGCTGTGTGGAGTGACTGATGGAAGCAAGGAGACCGAATAGAAGGCTATTGTAGTATTATTCTAGGCAGTAGAGAGGATGGCTTTGTCTAGGATGGTAACAGTGGAGGTGGTAAGAGGGGATATGTTTTGGTAGTAGCACCTGTAAGATTTGCTGATGGATTGGTGAGCTCTTAGGGAAAGAAGGAAGTCAAGCATGGCTCCAACTTTGGCCAGAACAAGTGAGTGAATGGTAGTACTATTTACTGAGATAGGGAAGAGTGCGGAGGAGCTGACTGGGGTGTATTTGGTGAGAGTTAAGATTTTTTCTTTTGGACATGTTAGGTTTGAGACAACCAAGACAACCAAGTGGTAATGTTCAGTAGGAAGTTGAATGTACAAGTCTGGACCTCAGGGGAAGAGAATGGATCTGGAGAACACATGATGTTTATGTGTTCATGTCAGTAAATATTCATCTACAACATAATTTTTTCATGACTGAGTCATGCTTGTTCAACTATAGACCCCGACAGTTAAAACCAGAAATAGATAAGCCCACTTAATTCATGTCCTAACTATAACCCATTGTGTTTATTTCTTATGGCACTTTCTTAATGCATTGACAGAGATGTTTGCAATGACCAGAAAATTCCAATCACCAGACCAGGAAAGCCCTGATAGTAACAGAATGCCTAGAAGACCACACACCCCACCACATCCCCTTCCCTGCCCATGATCACCACTGAACACATACTGACCCCCACCCATAATCACGTGCCCTCTGCCTGCTCTCTCGTGCTGCCTCACTGAACCTCTCCCTGTAAAACTCTAGGTACCTATCTTGCTGGCAGAGAAGTTGGTTGGTAAGGCTTGAGGCTGCCACCTCCCCCAGCTGCCAGCACTTGAAGTAAATCTCTCCCTTTCTTTTTTCCAAACCCTCATCTCTTGAGTTACTGACTTCTCTTGGGATGAGTTTATCCAAGTTTGTTCGGCAACAGTATTGGGAAACCCATCCTGGAGCTGTGCTTTCAATTTGTCCAATCTGCTTGGGATTCCTCAGGATGGAACATTTGGCTACAGCAGCACTCTAGGGCTTACCTGTTTATTCCCTGAGTTAGTGGCGATGATAGATCATTCTGTAACATTCCATTGTATTTATATACGCTGTATTTTGTGATGAATAATTTTGTAAATCCATATTTTAAACTAATTCCTGTAGGGTATTTGCAATGTAGTTTTGACATTAATGAGAATTAGCTTAATTTGCACAAATTAAAGGCATTGCCCGTCACAAGACTTTCTGCATTTGAAATGCCAACCACAAGTTCAGGAGTCTCTAGGCCATCTGTATTTCTGACCAAATTCAGGAGTTCTGAGCTCCTTGGGTTTGATAATTCACTAGAACAACTCATAGAACTCAGGAAAGTGCTATAATTATGATTACAGTTTTATTATAGCAAAAGGTTACAAATTTGAACCAGCAAAAGGGAGAGTTGTACAGAGCAAGGTCTGGGAGGTTCCTAAAAGCAAAGCTTCTGTGTCCTCAGGATATGTCACCCTCCCAGCATATCAATGTGTACTATCAACCAGAGAAGATCACCAACTCTGTGTTCAGAGTTTTTACTAGGGTTTCATTATGTAGACAGGAGTGATTGAATCATTGGCCATATGACTGAACTCTGTCTTCAACCTCTTTCTATTCCCCAGAGGTCAGGCAAATATCATGTGGCTCAGTGCACCAATCCTTTAATCACATGGTTGGTCTTTCTAAGATGGACAGCCCCCATTTTGAAACTAGGGGCCCAGTGTCAGTCACTTGGTTAGCATAAACCCAGTGTGGCTGAAACAGCCCACCTTGAATAGCACAGACACTCCTACCATTTGGGAAATTCCAAAGGTCTAGAGGCTTACTCCCAGGAACCAGGCACAAAGACCAAATTCTTTATTATACAATAGTGTTAAAACCCAATTCAATTATTACTTCCTCTGGAAAGTCTTATAGACTTTCCAAGGGCCTTTGTTCATATCTCTGTTACAGTTTTTCTTTTTCCCCTCATTAGTGAACACTTTGAAGATCCCCTGATTTTAGTCATCTTTGTATCTCTAATATTAGCACTATATCTGGCTTATAGTAGTAAGTAGGCTCAGTAAGTATTTAATGAATTAAAATATTTAAGATATAGTTCATGAGATGAGAAGTTCCGTATAGAATTCTCTTATTAGGATTTTAAAGATCAAATAGAATCAATAGTCTCACTTCATTCCTTCTTATTCCATTCATCACCATTTGCTCTACTTTAATATTTTTATACCTTTTTATGTGGACATCAAATTTGCAAAAGAAAAAGAGATTTTGTTTTTTATAATAATGTATCAACAGTATTTAAAGAGCAATATTTTCTAATGCATTTAAAGTATACCAAATTTCTACTTACACAATTTATAGAGACTACATTATCATATAATGTAAGTATTATCATGCTGAGTCTCAGAGAATCTTTGTTTCCTTCTACTGATCTTAAGGATGAATAAGTTCTAATGTCCTCTAATTTGTCCTGTCTGTGCATAGGTACAGAGTACTTAATAAAAATGTAATATTCCCTAAACCAGTCTGTATTAAGATTTAAGATTTAATATCTATATCTATCTATCTTTCTATCTATCCATCTATATATTATCCAAAATGTGTTTGTTGGGACAGTTTCCCACTCATCTTGATTCAGGGTGCTTTTAATTCTTTTTTTAAAATTTATTTTAATATATTTATTTTTTTTTTTTAAGATTATTTATTTATTTATTTGACAGAGAGAGAGACAACGAGAGAGGGAACACAAGCAGGGGGAGTGGGAGAGGGAGAAGCAGGCTCTCCGCGGAGCAGGGAGCCCGATGTGGGGCTCAATTCCAGGACCCTGGGATCATGACCTGAGCCAAAGGCAGACGCTTAACGACTGAGCCACCCAGGCGCCCCTATTTATTGTTTGTTTTAAATAATGACAATTTAAAATAGTGACACCCACAAAACCAGTATCATTATTTGAAATGTTTAGTATAACCAGAACCCTGCTGAGAAATGTAAGATTATAAAATTCACAGAGTTTTTAATTCATTCATCAAATATTAATTGAACATCTAAAGTATTCTAGGTACAACATTAAGCCCTGGGGACTCAAAGATTGATACAGCATGATACCTAACCTTAAGAAGCTTACAGCTTTGGGCGCCTGGGTGGCTCAGTCGCTTACAGCTTTTGGGGCAAGACACAACATTCATCAGATCACTAACAATGTATGGAGGTTAAGTTAGAGATTAATGCAATGCTATGGGGTGCTTACCAGGAGTGTGAGTCTAGCTTGGAGGCCTTCCTGGAGTGGGGTGGTGTCATGTGAAGGTGGGCGTACATGCTTTGCAAACTATAAATATTATGCAAATAGAGGCAAGTATTATTGATACACATCTTACCAAAGAGCTCCGCCTGTAGGAAAAGACAGTTAAAATAGTCTGAAGTGAAAAATGATTACTCATTTTTGCTAAGACTCATACTGCTCTTTCCTTGAATGGAGCTGCTGAAATACTACCTAGTGACTTGTGTTAAGGGAATGTCCAGAAAAAACAAAAACAGAAAAAAATTGCTGGTGCATTTTACATAGAATTTAACTTTTAAATCATGTGGCCCAGTGCTATACATTGTAGATATTAAATAATGTATATTCAGTGACAGTTACAAACTTGGTCATTGCTTCCAAATAGTATTAAGACCTTAATTCCATCAGGGTGCTTTTAGTTTTGCTTCCATCTGAAGGAGCATCCTTCTGTAAGCCTTGCTTTTCCTCCTATACACTGGCAAAGGACAGTGGAGAAGCCAAAACACAAAACTACTGTTTGTGCATGGCTAAAGATGGTGGTGATTTTGTAGCATCCTGGACACTTCACATCCATGAAGTAGGAGTTGGGGCTCTGCATCAGGCACTTCTTGTGCTTACTCTTTTCCTCCTCCGGGGATGGGTGGAGGAGGTCCTCTCATGGGGAGGTTGTCACCACTGGAAAGCAAACAACAACAACAACAACAACAACAACAAAAAACTTAACATTTTTATAATTTTTATCTAGGCTAGTTCTTATGAGACAGCATTTCACTGGGATATATCCTTTTTGGAGTAGTAAAGACACTAGAAATTATTTGCATGAGATTTATTTTTTCTCTGTTATACAAAATTTTTTTAAAAATATTTGTTTATTTGAGAGAGAGAGAGAGCACGTGCGGGGTGAGGGGCAGAAGGAGAAGCCGACTCCCCGCTGAGCAGGGAGCCCAATGTGGGGCTTGATCCCAGGACCCTGAGATTATGACCTGAGCCAAAGGCAGATGCTTAACCATCTGAGCCACCCAGGCACCCCTGTTACATAATTTTTCATTTGCATGAGATTTTAAAAAATGCACTGCTGATTTTTATTAAGTTTCTATCCTTTTTTCATAAGCTTTAAAACACGTTGTTTTTTAGAACAGTTTTAGATTACCGAAAAATTGAGATGATAGTACAGAGTTCTATATATACTTCCTCATCCAGTTTTCATTATTATTAACATATTAGAGTAGATTTATTTCAGTTAATGAATCAATATTGATACGTTATTATTAACCACTTCAAATTTTTATCTAATGTCTTTTCTTTGTCCAGGGTCCCATCCAGGACACCACATTAATTTAGTAGTCATGTCTACTTAGGCTCTCTTGGCTGTCACAGACTTTCCTTGTTTTTGATGACCTTGATAGTTTTGAGGAGTACTAGTCAAGTATTTTTAGGATGCTTCTCTTTTGGAATTTGTCTGATGTTGTTCTCATAATTATACTGGGGTTGTGGTTTTTGGGTGTGTTAACCTTAAAATAAAACAGCCTTACCAGCAAACAGTTTATTTTACCAGCAAAAATAGGTTTATTTGGGAATAACAGAATTGCAAAGCCATAAGCAAATCTCACAAAGGAGAGGAACATTATTTTATGGAGAAAGAGGAAGTTGGGAGGAGTTGTTTTGAACAAAAGTCCATTGGAGAAAAGCAAGAGTAGGGTGATTTTTCATTGCCTGAGTTGCAGAGTTAGTAGATTTTTTATATGAGATGCAATGTACATCTTTCTCTGTTGGGACCTGTAGTTGATGATTCTTTTCCAGTGATGATTCTTCAGTTGGATTTGTAATTGACAATTCCTCCTGTAATTGATATTGAGTGGTACAGCTCTGCCTTCCAGCCTCCCCTTCTAGCATCCAGATCCACTTTAGTGAGGTTTCCCTTTTTTAATTTTCACAGGTGGAAGATCACAGAGATACAGTGCTATTCTTATCACATCATATCAAGGGTATATATTATCGACATGATTTCTCATAGTTGATAATGACCTTAATCACCTGGCTGAGGTTGACAGGTTTCTCCACTGAAGTTAGTCTCCCCCTTCCCATTTCCCATGCTGTACTTTTTTTTTTTTTAAAGAGAGAGTGAGAAAGTGGGGGAGGGAGAGAGAGAATCCTAAGCTGACTCCATGCCCAGTGCAGAGCCTGACTGGAGGCGTGCTGTCACGACCCTGAGATCATGACCTGAGCTGAATCAGGAGTTGGGTGCTTAAGTGACTGAGCTATCTAGGTGCCCCTCCATGCTGTAGTTTTTGGAGGGAGGTCTCCATGCACTTAAGGAGTGGGATTTATGGTCCCCATCCTTGCAGGTGGAGTATCTATATAAATTATTTGGAATTCTTCTGCAAGGGAAATTTGTTCTTTTCCATTTGTTTGTTTAATCATTTCCTTAGTATCAGTATAAACTCAGAGATATTTATTTTGTACTTTAGGTTATAATCACATTTGGCTTTTGGAAGCTCATTCAGTTAGTCTCCTGTGTCCCTTTGATATACCTCTGTAAATTTAGGATCTTTTTGTTTTTAACATTTCCTTAGTTTCTGACATTACAAGATGCTCAGCTCATCTTGTGTATTTCCTGTCCCAGTCTTGGGATCAGCCATTTCTCCAAGAAACCTGGGTTTCTTTTGTTGGAGAGTGGTGATAGAAACTAAGATCTTGTCTCTAGGTGTGCTTGTTACAACTGGGATTTCATTGATTCTAAGCATTCTCAGCTGACAGAATAAGTAAATATATGTATATATGCATACATACATATCTATAAATATTTCTAGATGTAACCATCTGTATTTTTACTAAGCTAAACACAAGTTCATATTCTAGCTCTAATCCCTTATCACATGGATCATTTTATTTAGCCTTTTCGTCCTGCTCATCTGTAATCTCCCATTCCAAAAGTGAGAAACCTTCTACCATCCACCATTCAGTTACCTAATTGTTCAGGTTCAGTAAACATGTATAGTGGTTTCGGAATTGTTAACCTGTACACCTGTGAGAAACAGCTTTATTAGCTAGAGTACAATGCTAATATGTGGTTCCCTGTGCTTTTAGTCTAACAGACTCCAGTGATTTCCAAAGTTATGTAGGTCAGTACCTTTATCCACTATCCTCTTCAGTATTGTTTCATAGTTTTGTATATTTTTATTATGGCAAATTTCAAACATATACAAAAATAAGGAGAAGAGTATAATGAACCACATGTACCCATCACCAGCCTCATGAAAATTATTAAAAACATAGTCAGTCGTGTTTTATCTGTACTCCCCCTAGTCAACATGTGATTATTTTGAAGTAAATCCCATGGTTATTTTGAAGTAAATCCTATATATATTATTTCCTCTATAAATATTCCCAAATGAGACTTACCATAATTTAACCAGTCCCCTATTGACAGATAGTTTTTATTTATTTATTTATCTATCTATCTAGCTATCTATTTATTTTAAAAGGAGACCCTTTTAAAAAAGATTTTGTTTATTTATTTGACAGAGAGAGACACAGCAAGAGAGGGAACACAGCAGGGGGAGTGGGAGAGAGAGAAGCGGGCTTCCCGTGGAGCAGGGAGCCCAATGCGGAGCTCGATCCCAGGACCCTGGGATCATGACCTGAGCCGAAGGCAGACGCTTAACGACTGAGCCACCCAGGCACCCCGATAGTTTTTATTTATTACAAGTAGTGCAACTCTAAATTTACATTTACATTTATCTTTGCAACTGCAGGGTAAATTTCTAGAAGTTGAATTGCTGAAACAGAGTTAGAAGCATTTAAAATTGAGAAATACTGCCAAATTTATTTTAATACCACCAAGAATAAATGAGAATGGTACCTTCATCTACACTGATTTTATCCAACTTTTAAATATTTGGCAATATGAGATCTGAAAAATGATATATGTATCTTCCTTTTGCATTTCTTTAGTTATAAATGGATAGGACATTTTTCCTATCTTTAGTGGTCATCTGTTTTTTCTGTGAACTGTACATTTAAATTCTTTGCTTGTTTAAGAAAAGGAAATAAGTTGTCACAAAGGTCCAATTTCCTTTCCTAAACCATTAATACTGTGCTGTGATCTCTCTCTTTTTCCTTATTCCTAGTTCAGATCACTAACTCAGGAGTGGTATTTTTGTCCCTTCAATGAAGGTAAATAACTGCCCACTTTTTTTCTTCTGTCCTCTTTTCACCCACCAAAGATTCTTAGCTCTGTTTTCTGTGAATCCTGGATACCGTCAGATTGCTTATCAAACAGATGTGGGTTTTTTTTTCAAGATTTTATTTATTTATTTGACAGAGAAAGAGATTGGGAGAGAGAGAGAGAGCACAAGCAGGGGGAGCGGCAGGCAGAGGACGAGGGAGAAGCAGGCTCCCCACTGAGCAGAGAGAGCCCAATGCAATGCTCTCTCCCCCAGGACCCGAGGGATCATGACCTGAGCTGAAGGCAGACACAACTACCTGAGCCACCCAGGTGCCCCTCAAACAGATGGTTTTAGGTCAGCTTCTGAGGGAGTACTCTAGGGAAATATGCCCAAGAAGCCACAGGAAGGATTTCTACAGACATGTGGGGGAATGTTTGTAATTGTTTAGCAAAGAATATGCCCAGAGAATATCACTTCGGCCTGCTTTGTTCATCTGTTCTGTCTTTCCACGCAAACGTAAGACATGCACTCTGACTTTTGCTGCTGTGCCCTTTTGACGGTATTTTCAGCCTTATTTTTGTCAGAGTGAATTATCTGTCTCCATCTGCTTTGGACATAAGTGTAATCATAGTATTATTGTTGGTTTCTTGATTTAGGGAAATGGTGATTGCATTCTGTCCTGAATTAAATGACAACGTCAGAGTGTAAGAATGTACTGACAGACTGATTTTCTTTGCTTATGTATTCTTTAAAAACAACTGTTCAAAATCTCATACACACAGAAGTTGTTTGCCAAGCATTTGAAGCCATCTAGTTTACCAGGTGGCAGCTGCTGTTGTTTATTGGGACCTAATTTAAACCACAGACATGAAATAAAGAGTGTCCTTGTTTTTAAAAAGAGAAACTGTGATTTCTTAAAAAACAGCTTTGTTGAGATATAATTTACATACCAGACAAGTCAGCCACTTAAAGTGTACAATTGAATGGTTTTTAATATATTCACTGAGTTGAAGAACCATCACCACAATCAATTTTAGAATATTTTTATAACCCTCAAAAGAAATGCTATGCCTGTTCTGGACATTTCATATAATTAGAATCATGCTGGTGGTCTTTTGTGATTGGCTGCTTTCATGTAGCATACTTTCAAGGTTCATACATATTATAGCATATATCAGTACTTTATTCTGATGGCTAATACTATTCCATTGCATGAATATACCATAATTTATCCATTCATAAGTTGGTATAAGTTTGGATTGTTTCCACTTTATTAAGAATAATGCAGTTATGCACATTCGTGTATAAGTTTTTGAATGAACATGTCTTAATTTCTCTTGGGTATATGGCTAGGAGTAGAATTGCTGGGTCATATTGTAATTCTATGTTTAATCTTTTAAGGATCTGCCAGACTGTTTTCTAAGGTGACTGTACCATTTTACATTTCCACCGTGAGTGTAGGAGGTTTCAGATTTCTTCATGTTCTTGCCAGTACTCATTATCTTTTTGATTATAGTCATCATAGTGAGTGTGAAGAGGTATCTCATTGTGATTTTGATTTTTTAAAAACATTTATTTATTTGAGAGAGAGTGAGCAAGAATGTGAGTCGGGGGAGGGGCAGAGGGAGTGGGAGGGAATCTCAAGCATACTCGCCACTGAGCATGGAGCCTGTCGCAGGGCTCGATCTCACCACCCTGATCATAAGCTGAGCTGAAACCAAGAGTCGGACACTTAACCGACTGAGCCACCCAGGCACCTTGTGATTTTGATTTTGATTTTGTTGTTATTTAACTTGTGTTTAAAAGCTATTATTAAAAATTATTAA